TTTGGTACAACACCCGTAGAAACAACAGCTTCATGTGGTATAATACCCGTAGCAACAACAATTTTATGTGGTATAATAACCATAGCAACAACAACTTTATGTGGTACAACACCCGTAGAAACAACAGCTTTGTTTGGTACAAGACCCGTAGAAACAACAGCTTTGTTTTGTACAACACACGTAGAAACAACAGCATCATGTGGTACAAAACCTTCACAAAAAAGTAGCTTTGTTTATGTGGTACAATACCTGTACAACAATAGCTTTGTTTATGTGGTACAATACCTGTTTATAACATGAGCTTTATTAAGTTGGATTTAATTTCAAATTGACTGCATTTTGTTCAAATAAACTTTCAGAAAACAATTTGAACTGATTTTAAATTACATCCCAGTTATTATTCACGTTTGTCGTTTGAGGCATCAGCTGACCGTGAGAGGGCGATATACCAGTTTTCTTTCATACACACAAGACTGGCATTTGAAATGGTAACTTTGTATCTCTTAGCCTAGAGTAATCATTTAAAATAAATTGTTGAATATATTTACGTGAATTTCAAATTTATACTTTTTTCTTTCAAATTGTTTTTCGTTGGGTCCTCACATAATATAAAAGAGGTGACGTCAGTGAACTATGTATAATAACATTAATCACTCCTAACGATCACAAATAGTGCCATAACTTTTTCAAACTATCCAGCGCGTTTTGAGATTTCAGTTACTTACACAGGGCGGGCAATATGACCGTATTGACCCTTTATTACCCCCATGATGATAACGAACGTGGCCAGAGAGTTAACCATCATATGAATTAACAATCCTCAAAGAACCTGTTTTGGTAGTCTTACAACATTTGACAAGTACTAATAGCTAACAAATACAGTAACTTCTACTCCTTTCACTTCTGTAGTCTCACATTATAATGTATGGCTGGTTGACAGAATATTAACGACACATCGCATGTTCTAGAAAAGTAAAGATTAATTATTCAACATTTACTTCGATTGCCTGTCATCATTTTTCTTCGAGGCATAAGAACACAAATTAGGGGGGGGCACGAGTTCTAGATTGTAATAGCTGATTTTGTAAGTCATATACATAGCTACAATTTTAAAAATAAGTAGGTAGAATTGGCATATACAGCGTCTTCTTTCAACTGATAACAAATTTCTAGTTGTTGTTTGTTTTTTGTTTGTTTTTTTTTGTAGCAAATGTAGTAAGGCTATTTGCTGTCGTCCCTAATTTTGACCTACAGACCAGAAGGGAAGAAACCACTAAGCAGCACTCTAAAAATCCACGCTAAGGGATTGACTGTCAAACTTTTAATTCATCAAAGTTTAAGGTAGGAAGGGGAATAGTTTGTGGTACTGTACGGATTCGAACCCGGTTCACCAACTCCGAAATTCAAAATTCTACAACATACAAAAAAATGACGGTGTTGGTGGAGTGAACATTAGCTATATCGGAAATAGCTATGAAAATATATATAATACACACAAGTAAAACCTTGAATTGACCACACTCCTCTGTTGCACAATTACAATAAAGAATGGCACGGACAATTTAAAGAATTCCAGACACTTAAGTTGTAAAATTATTCTACTACATACTTATTCCGAATTACGGTAATTTCACTAAGACGCAATAATACTTTTACTTTGCGATTATGTGTTAAGATTAATAAAAGAAAATGATTTTTTCACAACGCTTTACTGCTTGTGATATAAGTACACGTAACAGTTATTCAAATGTATTAAAACAGTTATCAAATAAAGTTGGTTACACTAACTTTCACCTTATTCCTCTTTACGGATTTAAGCAAAAGCAAACTATAGTAGAGATCATCTTAATATATTTCATACAGTACTAACATGAAAAATATAAAGCCGGTGACGAAATATTTATAGCTTGATGTGAAAACGAAAACATCTACGTGGGGAATCTTCAAAACTAAACAGGATTTTCTTTCCCACATGCCGAATGTTAATAAATTATGGTAGTCCAGTAACCGTGGTAACAGGTGAACGTCCGAACGCTGTTAGTTATTCTGCAACATGCTACCGAGATGCTTATTGTGATGCCAGTATGGTCCCAACATAACTTCTTAAAACTATGTACGACTCCGCGTCATAAAGAGCATCAAATGCTTTAAAGCGATATAATTTTTCTGCACATTCCCATAATTGAAATGTCCTGTAGATCACCAAAAGTTGTAAAAATCATGTTTGAAATTCCAGTGTCATTTCAAAACGGTATCTTGACATGCATTTTTTATATGAATCATTTTTATAATTTTAATACAATAACTGACATTTGTTGTATTTCATCTTGCAAAATATCGAGCTTTGAAATTAATAATGTTTGGGATACAACGTTTTTTTGTTTTTTTAAGCAAATGAATTGACATTTATCCAAAATGCTTAGATAACAATCATAGACCAGATAATGATCTATTATATAAGTAACAGTCAATAATCTTTATGAATTTAATAGAAATCATGGAAGTAATAATACATATTACATTATGGACTGTTAACATTGTAAGTTATATTGACTGTTTCGCTGCTACTACGTTTTATTTCAGGATGCAAAAAAACAACAAAAACCGTATGTATCTGTGTTTGGGTATCTCATGACCAAAGACAAAACACGATTGTTTGTTTGTTTGTAATTAAGCACAAAGCTACACAATGGGCTATCTGTGCTCTGCCCACCACGGGTATCGAAACCCGGGTTCTAGAATTGCAAGTCCGCAGACATACCGCTGTGCCACTGGGGGCTAAAACACGAAGTCACTGTAAAATAACAGATCGCAGGTGTTATAAAAATATTGTTTCTTGGTGCACCTTGAATAATAGTATCAACTTACACTCAACTATACATGTATACATGTTTATGTTATAGTATTTCAATATTCAACTCGGTTTAATTACACGGCCATGAAATATTTTTTTAAAAATTGGAACTTATAATAAACACCAGTTTCCTGACAATATCTCTGATTAGAATAGGCCATACTAATACAAAAGCAATGGAACTACATTAGTTTTCCAGTTTCGGGTGGGAAAGTGAACCGATTACTTTTACTCTCCTGTTAAGGTGTTTTGATTCTTTAACGTATCCAAACTTGCTAAACGCCCATGGATTATTATGTAACATGAACACACTTTTTAAATTGGTCTTTACATATATTACTAGCCCACCACCCATTGGCTCAGCGGCATGTCTGTAAGCTTACGACACTAAAGATCGGGTTTCGTGGCGAGCAAAGCACAGAAAGCCAACTGTGAAGCTTTGTGTTTAAGAACAACCAAATCAAATTTTATTTATTATCACAAATGTTTTCTTTTTAAGAGAAAGAGAAAAATATCAAAATTCTGGACAACACTTCCTGGCATCTGACATTCTTAAGGCATCCGTGAAGGATTGGATTCGTCACACCAGCATTTTGCCAAACTGGTATAATAAACAAACAGAATATTGAGAAAAAAAAGCATCATACATAAAGACATGAGGTAAATGGTTGTTAACCATTGGTTCACCTTTGCTGGTTGTTATCTGACAGTGGCCTGGCATGGCCTAGTGGTTATGGCATTCGACTCGCGGGTTCGAATCCTGTCTCTGAACAGGCTCGCCCTTTCAGTTGTGGGGGCGTTATAATGTGACGGCCAATCTCGCTATTTGTTGGTAAAAAACAGCCCAAGAGTTGGCAGTGAGTGGTGTTGACTAACTGCCTTACCGCTTGTCTATCACTTCAAAATTAGCGACAGCTAGTAAATACTCTCAAGTA